CAATTGCCTGGTCTTCCATTTATACATGCTAATATAATATACGTAGGCAGGAATTCTAGTGCCGCACCTAAGATCTTCTTAGCTTAATTTCCCGATAAATTCTGACTTGAATACTTGAACAAGTCATTTCATTTCTTTGGTCTCTCTGTAAAATGGAGCTATGATACTGATGCACTACCAGTTTCACAAGGTGGTTATGAGCAGAGTGCTATGGAAACGTGATCATCACCATTGCTAACGTCTTCCATGTTCCCTGTTCCCCTACCGTATCTTTACCATGCTTCTCACCCCAGAGCTGACTCAGAGTCACGGCATCTTTGGAAACCAGTGGGCAAAGCAGAGTCAAAGAGAGCCAGCATTTAGTAAGTGCCCACTCCGCAGCGTAGTAGAAAGATCACTAGACATGAAGCCAGGACATCTGGGTGCTCTTGCTGTCCTTTGGAAATGTCCCATCCCCTCTCTGCGCCTCAGCTTCCTCATCTGTGATGACCTCTCAGGTCCCTTCCAACTCTGAATTCTTATAGGGGTAAGGTGCTGGTGCTGGACCTCTGAATCGTAAAGTTAGATCAAGATGAGACCAGAGAGGACCAGGTTGAGCCCCTTCATTTCATCCTTGAGGGAACTGAGGCCTAGAGAGATTATGCCTATGGTCCCAGAGATTTATTACATTGTATCATATTACAATAAAGGGAAAAAGAATGAAATATAGACAAGAGCACAGGACCTGGGTTCAAAGTCTGCCTCTGCTACATACTACCCTCGTGACCATGGACAAGTACTCATCACCTCTGAATGCCTGTTTCCTGATCACTAAAAATAGATGTTTAGGAATAAGCTTCTCAGTTCAGTCTACCCAATTCTTACCCAACCTCTAATGACTGGCTCAAATACCATTTCTCCCAAGAAGCCTTACTTGATCTCCTCCCTCAAAACTTCCTTCTCCAGTGTCCTTACATAGCATTTTGTTTGAACCTCTCTTACTAGGCTTTCATGCTCTACCTAGCTACTAGACTGCAGATTCCTGGAGGGTGCAAACTGGCATTTTTTTTCTATCTTTATTTCCCCGGTACTCAACAGTGTGGTCCACCTAGCGGGTACTTTAATTTTTAATGAATTGAAGCAGGTTAAATTTATTTCCTTGGTGATCAGCAGGATCCACTGCAATTCTAAATCTATGATCCTATGATTCCTCTCAAGGAACTTTCTGTCAGAGTTCAGTCAGAAGACGACTAGACTCTATATTAAGAACAAAGGAATCTTCCTTGCCCATAGAGTAAAACAAGTGTAAAGATAGAAGAAAAATAATAATAAAGAGAAAAGATAGGACTTGCAAGTGAAACAACTCAATCCTGACCTATTTAAACAATTTATTAATAATGAAAAGTGGGCAGAGGACAGCAAAATGACACTAAAACCAATTAAAATAATTTTGTACAAAAGTTTAATCAGTGTAAGTATAACTGTTTTAACAAGGTGACCAAAAGAGCCCAAAAAGCCACTATCAACAAACACTTGGCGTCCTTGACAACCAGAGAGAGGGTCACCAAAAGCAACGGCAGTTTAGAATATTAAATTATTTGTAAAATTTTATGAAGAGAGATAATGGAAGATTATGAGCCATATTGCCTCATAAAACACAGAGAAGTAGAAGGTAAAGCTAATTTAAGGGAAGTTTAGCAAGATATACAACTAGGTAGTCATCTCTAGGGCATTTAAGGATGAAAATGGAAGGAGGTCCACAAACAAGAAAAAAGTAGAAAAGATCTGCAAATATTTTTATAACAGTTTCCACCATCAAAGATAGTAGAGCTACCATACTTGGACTCTGAAATCACAATCACAAATGTATTTATAGGGGCAGCTAGGTGACATTGCGGATAGAGCACTGGCCCTGGAGTCAGGAGGACCTGAGTTCAGATCTGACTTCAGACACTTAACACTTACTAGCTGTGTGACCTTGGGCAAGTCACTTAACCCCATTACCTAGCCCCCTCCCTCCAAAAAAAAAAAAAGAAATGAATCACAAATGTATTTATAAAGGTGGTAAAAACAGGACTAAAGAAAATAAAAATGGGGAAAACATCTGAATTAGATCGTGACATAAAGGAGATTTATGCTGGAGGTGACACAATTGTAAGGACATTGAGGGAACAGTTCACAAGGCTTCTGAAGGAGAGAAATGCATTAAAGGTATGGGGAAAAGTACAGCTGTTAATACTACAAAAAAGGCTACCAAAAGAATAACAGTAGGCACTGTCATAGATACACCTCCTTTCATAGCTATACAGAAATTTCATGAGCACCATCTACATCCACACTAAGGCATCCTCAATGAGGGAATTAGTGAAAAAAAGACTTTTGCAAGCAATGTACCATTTTGCAAATTGATTAAAAGGCTTAGGAATACAAGATTTTACTGTGCTTATTGGTTGCTGATTGCTGAAAAAGTATTTGATCAGGTAGAACAAAATGTTGTCTTAAAGGTCCTCTTCCAACCAAAGTGTCTCACTTCCATACATGAACACCATTCAGTATTCCTTGAAAAAAATATAACAAAGGTAACCTTGTTCAATGGTGCTCTCCCTGATCACAAAGATCATAAGAGGCATAAGTCGGGGAGACATGTTTCCTAAATATATTCACCACTGTGATGGAAAAAAATCCAACATAGAGTCTGAGTTAAAGAGGGATTCTCTATGGGAGATCAGATCCCCTAGATACTCATCTTTGCAGATGGCATTATTCTAGTTGCGTCAAGTTTTGGGACATTTCAGAGTCTCCTAGAACAAATCTGTAACCACTCAAAAGAATTTGTCCTAACCATCTACACAGAAAGACCAAGTGGATGAAAATGTCTGTAGCCCAGATTGTGACATGAAGTTGGATTGACAGCCTGTATGTCCGTGTAATTGTAATCTGTGTGTCTGTGTGTGTAAAACTTGATCATATGGAATAGACAATACAAATAGTCAATGAGCTGGACCCAGAATCTACGAGGAGAATGAACTAGATTGTGTAATTGCCCAGTTCCTTTAATGACCCCAAACTTTTCTCAGAAAAGACACTTAAAATGTTTTACTAGTAGTGTTGTATGACTGTGAGATATGGAACATAGATGTTTTGAAAGAATTAAAAAATGAATGTCATGCAGAGAGCATTTGGTGGAAATGAGCAAGCTGCAATGTAACAAATCAGGAACTTCAAAGAGTAAGAGCTAAAGATGTCATAAGGGAAATGTATGATGAAAAAAGAAAATGGACTTGTGTGCCATGGTGGGCAGCTTGAGTGCTCTGCCAGCATCCTCATGTTGTCAGAACATGAGAAAGGCTTCCAACAAGTTAGGTTGGCTGAACCACCTGTGAGGAACTCAGGAGAGGATATGAACAAGAGGTAGGCATTCTGAGCAAGCATAAATGGGTCGCAATCAGCATCGTTGGAGGGAACATCCAAATTGATGAAATGTAAGATCTATTTGAGTATGGTGCCTGCCCTCAAAGAGTTTACTGTCAAAGCTGGATCAAACAACAGCTAGAATGCATTAAGCAGGCAAGGAATAGAAGGGCATATACAATAGTATATGAAGGGAAGAAGTGAAAGAAGTCTAGAAAGGTAGATGTGGGTCAGATAGTGGAGGTCCTGGAATGTCAGACTGAGGAATTTGGACTTTATCTAGGGAGGAGGCCCTGGGAGAGAGGAAGGGGATGGAAAGGGGCTTGGAAGTTTTACTGGGACTCATTCCTATGACAGAGAAAAGAACGTTTGCTTTTTTGGGTGTTAGGACATACATCTGGCGATGGGAGAGATGTGGAGCTAATCCTCTTCCCACTCATGTCTGCATTTAGGTTTCCTAGAACATTCATGGGCATCCTGGATTGTAGCTGTCTTCATTCAGATCCGCAGAGTTACTAACAACCCTAGGTTTTATCAATGAACAAGTGTGTATTGAGTGTGGGTAGTGGAAAGTGGAGAGGCCTAGGAGTCAGGAATCCTGAAGTCTGATCCTGGCTCAGCCGCCAACCACAGTCGTGTGACCTTGGGCAAGATGCTTTCCCATTCCAGACCCCAGCTTCCTCCTCTGACAAGTGAAGAGGATGGGCAAGGTGATCCCCCAAGGTCCCTTCCAGTGCCAACAGTCTATGAATTGAAATGAATTTCATTTCCTTTGGCTGAGCCCAGCTTCCCAGGAAAGCAGCCTCCCCAGAGCCGCCCAGATTTGTGTTTCTTGCCTGGGTTGGCACCTGTTAATGTTTTAGCCCCTGGAAACTGCATTTTCTCTTCTTGAGGCAGTTTAGACGCCCTTCCTGCCACCAGGCAACTCATTACACAGGCAAGGTTCACACAAGGGGGGATTGTTTAGAGATCCGGGAAATGCAGAAGTTTAATAATAATGGTCCAGTTAGACTACACGTTGCACACCTGCTTGGCAGTGGTTACTGCTCCCTTGATTAGGCTGTGATCTACGCAAATGATGACTCCATGGTGAGGGAAAGGCAGTGTTCCATCACGACTGAGAGGAAAGAAAGACATTACCAGCATACTAACATATCTCTCATCTCCCCTCTCTTCTCCCCTGTGCACCAATCCCTCTCTTTATTTGTTCATATTTCCTTATCCTCTCCCTCCCCCCTGCTCTCCCCCTTTTTCTGCCCTTTTCCCCCCTCTCCTTTTCTCCATCCTCTCTCCACTTGTCCTTTCCCTTGCCTCTTTTCCTTCCTGTTTCTTCACCTGTTCTCCTTCCTCTCTTCCCTGTATCTCACCTCTCCTTTACATTCCTTCCCTCCTCCCCCTTTTCCCTCTTCTCCCTTTTCCCTCCTCCTCTCTACTACTTACCCAAACTCTGTCCCTGCTTTCCCTTCTCCTCCCCTCGTTACCTCTTCATCTTTTGTCTTCTCCCATCTCATCTTTCTTCCAACCTTCCCTCCTCACCTACCCTTCCCTCTCCCTTCCCCTCCCCTTTCTTTTCTTGCTTTTCCCTCCTCTCTTTTCTGATTTCTCTGCAGGCCTCTAACCCCTCAAGAACCAAGATGCAACTTCTGGAGACAGAGTTCTCCCACACTGTGCGTGAGCTCATCGACCTCCATCTGCTCCAGCAGGACAGCATCCCTGTGTTCCTCAGCTCGGTGACTCTCGACCTCTTCAGCCGCCAGACCATCGCCTAAGCCAACCTGCTGTGTTGGAATCCCAGTGCCTTAAGCAACCCAGAGGCCACGAGAGCTTTAGCCTGCTACCCCCTGCCTCACCCCCTCCCCCTTGTCCCCACTCCAAAGGTTTAAAATATCCCCCATTTTCAAAGTGATTTTAAGAGGATAAGGATAGAGCAAGTGGCCTTGCTTTTTCAGATTTCATTTGTCTCATCCCCCACTGATGTCCCAAATATCCTTTCCTGTCCAGCTTGACCTAATCCTGTCACCCTAGTTTTTGATATATATACATCACCATCTGTCGCTTCCCCAGATATTACTGCAGAGCCGCGCATGCAGCTATCTCCAGGGCCTCTTCTCTTCCTCCGTCCTCTTTCCTGGGTTATTTCCTTGGCCCCAACAGATGGCAATAGCCCCAGAGGCTAATTGGTGCCATCTATGAGCCCATTCCTTAGGGAACACCCCGTTAGGGGCAGTAGAACAAGCACACCAGCAGCCCCTCAAAGATGAAGCCACGCTGACCTCTGGGGCCTTTACCTCATGCTCCTCATTGAGGTGACACCTGAGCCAGACCCTTGGCTCGCCAGACCCATCTTCTCCCCTCATTTCAATGTGCCTTATAGATGAAGCTTAGACCTCACTTGAGTTTTTATCTGACTGGCCTTCAAGCCAGATTCTTGAAAGGGAGAGAAGAGAGTTAAGGTGTTGACCAACTGCCATGGGACCCTGTGGATTTGTCCTCTCTGCCTTTGTGCCCCGCCTCCCCACCTCATGCTCCACCTCCTCCATCAGCACACACCCTCCCCTGCCCCACCCCCAATGATTAGGGAAACACACTATGATGAAGCATTTGTCACTGAATATCAATAAAGTTTTCTTCCACCCCCTACAGCTCCCATCCTGTCCAGGGACGTGTGTGTGTTTGTCTTGGCTTTCTGCTGCACCTCTGTCCATAGGCAGTAGTTGGAATAGAGCAGCTAGTGGGAGGCCCAGGGAGAGGGGTTGGGGAGGGAAGAGTAGCTGCTCTAACTAGTTGAAACTCAATGAGAGTAAATGGGGGTGAAAAGACTCTGAGTGGCACATGAAAACAATCCTACCCAGAACACTTTTACTCGGAGCAGGCTGCCCATTCCCCACACTCCAGCCCAACTAAGTTTCCCAGGGGTAGTTGCTCCCAGTGCTTCCCAAGTACAACAAGGTAAGGCACTCATGAAGTAAATCCCATAAAAAAAGGAAGTATTCTCCCGCCAAGGAGGAAGTGCCCCCTATGTCAGCACCCTCAAGAGAAAGTCCCATTTTTTCCCATGATAGTTATGACGCCAGAGAGCAGTCACAACCATCCAATGGGTCTAGCATAGTCCACAGGTTTCTCTCTTGCACAGACACGACGCCTTCTGTCATCACACCAAGATTGTTTTTTAATCTAGCTGCTTCCTCATAACCCATATTTCATTGTGACGTGAGGAGAACACACAGCTCCTCTGTCCCCAGCAGAATCTGCAGTAGGGAATCGGGGAGAATTGCCAGCTCCCACTGGGATCCACCCTCCACCTAAGCCTGATCCTTTCTCTCCCCCATCCCCATCCCTTCCTGGGAGTCATTAGAAACATCAGCCTAGGGAGAATCATGTCTTTTTCTCTGAACCCAAGGCTAGGACTTAAGCAAGGATGAAACAGCAATGTGGAACCACCCCCATCCATGTATCCAAATTGGGTTGTTTTTGAATTAGGGATGGCAACCTCCATGCAGTAGATCAGAAAAATCCCCATGATGGCAGGCTACTGCTGCTCCCTCCCACTACTCCCCAGGGTCTGCTCACTGCTGCTCCTTTTCCAAAGCATCCATTCCTGCCATGGGTTATTTTGCAATTTCCTCGTTGCTCCCCAGGGCTAGTCTCACCCTAGAGTTAAAGGCTGTGTATCTCATTTTGGTTGTACAACAGAGTCAGGTGGCAGAGGCCGGGTGGACTCCCAGGTGACTCAGAGCCCCACTGTAAACTAGAGAGGTTTGAATGGAGGGGCAGTTCTAGTTAACCCAAACCCTCAGCCCTTGGCCAATGAAGAATGGAGTTTCCCAGGAAATACAGCCAGCAGGCGAGGAAAGTTAGCTTTGCCATTTACAGAAGTCCAAGCAAAAGATGGATTACCTGGCATTTGATGCCAGGGGAACATTGCCTGATTCGTATGCACAGTGTGGCACTCTGGGCCGCCACCGTCAGTCATGGAGAAAATGAGTCGTAACGTCAGCCACACGATTTCTCCGCCAGCACAATAACGAGGCAGAGACGGGGGCTGTGTCTCCTAGCTCCTCACAAGAGAGCTCAAGTAATTAATTAATATGTTTACCATAAGCCCACTATCTTACCAGGACAGGGGGAGGAGGGATATACAGCTACTGGGAGCAGACAAGAGATGAATACCAAAACATCCACTTGTCAGGTGGTCTCTCCAGAGCACTTAGGGAAGAAACAGCCACTGGGAGCACTCCAGATCTATGGAGGAGCAGTTGACTAAAGGGGAGACAGTTGGAGAAAATTAAATCATGGATGTGTGGATGTTCAGAGAGTTTGGAATGCCAAAGCTGACTAGGCTCCATCTTTTCTCATAAGATGCTCATTGAAGAGCTCTTTGCAGAGTATCATGGGCCTTTTGCTTCTGCCACTCAGGGCAGTGAGCATGGCATCCTGCCCGAGTATCATGTAGATCTATACTTGGAATCCTGGACTCAGACTTCAAGCCACTTCAACCCTATTAGGAAATTGAGTAGATGTCTTCTTCTTTTGTCCAACTTAAGCCTCTTACTGCACTCACCATCTTTCTCCTCTTCTCAGTTGAGATGGAGAACTATTGGCTACCACTCTCCAAACAGCAATTGTGAAAGCAGCATTCTTTCCTAAGTACAGTTTAAGGTGCCACAGCTATTCATATTGTGTTTGCCTCTCTGATAAACTCCTTGTTGCTTGATGGGACAAGTTGAGTGGAAGATGAGCACTGAAGAGGGCAGTCTGAGTTCACAAGGCAAGGCTGTTTTTTCCAGTCTTCAACTCTCTGGTTAGGTGACCTCCATTTCTAGGATTCAGATGCTATGGAGAAAATCCCAGGTGCATAATCCATCATTTCATATTTCTGTTGCTAAAGCTTCCCTCCACTAGCTTGGATAATGGAGAGTTGTTGGTAGATAAAGAAGCAGGCCCAGGGGACTCACAGTTGACAGGATATATTGGACAAGTATAATAGAAGCATTGCGATGGGCTGGATGATTGGTCAAGATACCTCACAAGTCTATAATTCTGACATTGCTCAATTTTGACAGCATATGCAATTTATTTTTTTTAATCTCATGATTAGTATGTAACTAGTATTTATGGAAACTGCCACATTCAGTCACGTATCTCCCATTATTTATGTACCATATGCCATTGAAATGTGTTGAAACTGACCAAAGACATGCCTATTTGAAAATATGCTGGCCACCATTTTGTTTCAGGAGAACAAACTGAACCCTACTCCAGCTGAGGGAATGTCTTGATACCCTTTTAGTAGGGGGCCAGACTTTTATCAAAATCAGTCAATTCCTTTGAAAATTATTGTGGAAAGATTCACAGGCACACCAATGAATACAAGAGCTAAACAGTCAGCTTGAAGCAGGAACCTTCCTTCTGTCTGTTGGTAATTGTTACAATGATAAATCTGCTGAATTCTCAACAGATGTGCAGATTCAAAACAGCTGTGCAAAGTAGTCAAGATAAAACACACCTACTACACTGCTCCAGGGATTAATTTGACTATGTAGTCAGCAAAGATATTTATAGTTATTAGAAGAATTTTTCTTACTCTTGAGCCAAGTATTCAATTCATTCAGCAAGCATTTATTAAGCACCTACTATGTTCCAGGCACATTTTCAGATAGTGGTAATACAAAGACACACACCCCCCCCCCCCGCAAAATAGCCCCTACCCTCAAGGAGCTTACATTCTAGTGGGGAAAAGCAACATTGTACATGATACAAAATATATTCAGAATATAAAGTGATGCTACTTGTTATACCCTAAACATGACATTCAGTCTCCTCTTCTGTGTTTTTTTGCACAGGCCTGGAATGCTTTCCCTCTCCTCTTATGATAAGATTATAGACATAAAGCTAGCTTGAAGGAAACTTACACAACATCATGTCCAACCTTTTAATGTTTTACAGTTAAGGAAAATGAGTCATAGAGTGGTTAAGTGACTTTTCCAGGGTCAAATATACTAGGATTTGAATTTAGGTTTTCCTGATTCCAAGTTCAGCACACTATACCTAGCTTCAGAAGCCTCCCTTTTCTGATCTCCGTAGTTATTACTACACACACGAGCGCGTGCGCACACACACACTCACACACACAGAGAAATAATAATTTTGTAATACATTTACTTACCTGAAAACATATTATTTCCTTTCCCTCATCCCCTAGTAGAATGTAAGCAGTTTTAAGGCAGTGGAAGTTTTCATCTCTGTCTTTGTCTCCCTAGTGCCTGAGTGAATGAATGAGAATGAATGAAAGCTAATAAGGTTCTAACCCTCAGAGAGGCCATTTAGACATTTATTAGGGTGTTCTCAGCAGATTTTACACTCTCCAGGGTGAAAAGATAGCAACAGCTACGTAAAAGTTATGCTTAGCATCATGACACTGGGGGCAGGTATTCACTCAGCATGCAGGTGCAGATGACCCACTCTTCTGGGGTCAGCTGCCACTTGAAAGCTAGACTGTTTGACTATTTCTCAGCATTTCCCAAGTCCCTAAGAGGATCTAGACTAGCAGCTCACTCAGAGCCATCTGTTATATCACCTTTGTCTGTGTAACTAAAAGCAGACAATGGACTGTCATCCATCTGGTACTTCAAGTCCTAAATCTCAATGATCTCAGGATCACAGACATGGAGTTGGAAGGAACTTTAATACTCATTTAGTCCAACCCCCCTTTTGACTATGAGGAAATAGGCCCAGAGAGGTTAATTGTTCTATATTGAATCCTCTCTTATGTTCTGCTGTGTACATGGCAATTTTTTTTCTTTTCTTGTTTTTATTTTAAGTTTAAAATAAATTTTAAAATTTACCAAAAAAAAAAAAAGTAGGAGCTCCTTCTTCTCAAGAGGTAAATGTCTAGGTGGGTTAAGGTCTGGGAGTCTGCCTGGAGTAGGGTGGATATAATAAGAGAGGATTCAATATAGAACAGTAAATGTTCATTTCAAGAAAATCTATATAATAAATACTACACGTTCTTTTCAAAGCTTCTCTTTGCTTTCTTGTAGGTTTTCTTTTGTTCTGTGCTGTGCACATTTTACTTTATTTTTCCCCTTTCTTCCCCATCTATAAACATGTACTTATATACAAATATACACTCATACACATATA